CAAAAACACAAAATCCACTAAAACAAATAAAATTCCAGAAATTATATCGTGACTTACCATTGCCTGAATTAGTGGAAAATCCACCAACAAAATTATTATAAATGATGCATGCAAGGATCTAAAAGGGAAAAACACAGAGAAGCAAAAAAATACCACCATAAGGGATTTCATCAACCAAGAGAAAGAATAAAAAATTTGTAAATGGGGTTGGTCTTTTGGTCTCCAGGCTCTCTGTAAACAATAATTGGCAATGTAATCAAGTAAGCTTTGCTTCACTTTTTTTGTTCTAAGGATTAATATGAAAGAAGCCATTTTTTCGGTATTCTTCAATTCTTTATTTTATAGTGTTTTTGTGTGTGCTTAAAATGAAATGCAAGCATTAAAACGAAATAGGAGTTAGATGCTTACCGAATTTGTTTGAGTCACCGGAGTCTAGGGGTGGAGCGTTGGGTTTCTTTCGGAATCTTGTATAATAATATCATAGTTTAGTTTTTAGGTCGGGATTTTAAAATAAAAGAATAAGTGTAAAAGAAAGTTTTGATTTAAGCTCACTTTGTTGCTGGATCGGCCTGGGATTCTAGTTTTCTGATTCTTCTGTTTTTAGACTTTGAATAATAGAATAATAAGAAAGTATTTAAAAAAAACGAAGATTGGGATTTGAGTTAGCTGGTGGGTTGTTTGCAAAATAACTAAAGTTTCAACATTAGATTGGAAACTGCAATTCGATTGTTAAAATGTTTTTGGGGCTTTGGTGTTCTTGACTGAACAAGTGAAAGAGGGAGAGTTGAGAGAGTGGTGAAAAGGCTGAAGAGATCAAGAGAGTAGTAAGTTTAGGTTAGGTTTAGTTTATAATTAGGTATTTATATCTTAAATTTAGGGTAATTTACTCTCGTGCCCCTTAGCTTTAATCACATAATTTAGTTTAGTCTTCAATTCGAGTTTTTTATGCTTTTAATTTAGTCTTTTCATTTTATGCACTTTTAATTTTAATCCGAAAAGTTGATTTATTTATTTTCTGTTATTTAGACATTAGATCTCTAATTCTCTGGATGTTACTTTTTAGTTATCAGATAAAGGTTTATATGTTTTCAATTTGGTATTTGCATTTTTTACACATTTAATTTTAGTTCTCTAGGATGGTGATCTGTTTTATTTCGTTTCATTGTGTATTATAGTGTAATATTCATGTCCATTTCAATTATTATTTTGTTTGTATTTAAAATAGTAAAGTTTGGATTAATATTATTTAGTTTTTATTTTAATAAGTACAATTATTTTCTAAAATTTGTAATTTGAGATGTTATGTTTTTATTTGGTATGTTTAAGTCACATTTGTACATTACATATTAATATATATAGTTTATAATTTATAGTTATAAAAATTATTTATGGAATTTTTGTATTAAAATGTCACATTGCATGATACTTTTAATCATAATGTTTGCTTAATTAATTTTTGTAGGACATCATTGTTGTATGATTTGCATGATAGCCTCACTTTCATAACTCGACATTATTATATAATTGGATTAAGGGTAGTACCTTTTAATTTAAAATTGTTTTAAGTGGGTTGTCTTAACGTATTAGATATCTGCTTTTGACGATTTTAAATTAGAAGTATATCCCATTAGTAACACCTAAAAATTGATTCATCACTTTAAAATTTGGGAATTAAAAGAAAAAGAAATGTTCAGCTATTTAAATTTGTCGAGAAAAGATTGTTATACTTCATTTAAGATCTGGTCTCGATATTTTTAAATAATCAAATATTCTTTATCTTTCTAAAGGTTGGGTAATTTTAATTTAATCTATTTGGGTGCTTTTGAATATTGTAAAATTTGTATGTTATTGTTTTATTGGGGATCAAAAATAAAATAAAATTCGAATTTGTAAATTTCATTGCAAAGATATTAATTAATTGACTAGGTATCGATTTAGGGCATTGTGGCGGTGCTAATCCTTCCCCACGCGTAATTGACTCTGAACTCATTTTCTAGTAATGCAGATCTCAATTCGTTGTTTTAATTAAAATTAATTTTTATTTAAAATGACAACATGTTTGGTTCCTCAATCACACCCTACTCAAATATTGGTGGCGACTCTTCGAACTGTTTTTTTTATAGTAAATGAATTTCTTAATTTTCGAAATGAGATGTTTTCTAAATAACATTACTTTTTAATTAAAAAAACTAAAAGAAATTAAAAATGATACGGTTTTCAAAATATCGCTTTTAAGGAAAAAACCCGTTTCGACACAAATATTGACCATGTAAAAACTATTGACCATGTAAAAACTCCAAGGGATGTGAAGGAAGCTCTTGAATCACCCAAATGAAAAAATATTGTAATGGAGGAAATGAATGCTCTAAAAAACAATGGAACATGAGAAATCTTGGATTTGCCTAATGGGAAAAAACAGTAAGCTGCAAATGGATTTTCACCACCAAATTCAAAACTGATGGAAATATTAACAGGCACAAGGCTCGACTTGTGGCAAAAGGATTCACTCAGACATATGGGCTCGACTATGATGAAACCTTTGCACCTGTTGCCAAACTTAATACTATTCGGGTTCTTTGTCATTTGCTGCAAATCTTGATTGGCCTTTGACTCAGTTGGATGGTAAAACGCCTTCCTAAATGGTGAATTGGCCGAGGAAGTGTATATGGACTTTCCACCAGGATTCGAAGAAGAAAAAGGTCGGGTATACAGGTTAAAGAAATCACTATATGGGTTGAAATAGTCCCCAAGAGCCTAGTTTAGTCGATTTACCAAGTATATGACCAGTAGGGCATATACCCAAGGATAGGCTGACCATACCATGTTATGCAAACATTCAAAGGAAGGTAAATGCTCCATCCTTATAGTCTATGTTGACGATATCATTCTAATAAGAGATGATTCGAATGAAATTGAATGCCTAAAAGAGTTCCTTAGCACTGAATTTGAGCTTAAGGACTTGAGAAATCTAAAATACTTCATTGGAATTGAAGTAGCCAGGTCTTGAACAAGTATCTCTATATCTCAACGAAAATATGTCATAGATTTACTGAAGGATATTGGCATGTTAGGTTGCAGACCTGCAGAGACCCCGATGGATTTCAATCTGAAACTTGGAAATAATGAAGATGAAGAAGAAGTATATAGGGGGAGATATCAATGACTTGTGGGAAAACTTATATATATCCCACGCTCGTCCTGACATTGCTTTCAGTGTGAGTGTTATCAGCCAATATATGCATAACCCAAGGGAGAAACATCTAGAGGCTGTTCATAGGGTGTTGAGATACTTGAAGGGAACCCCGAGTAAAGGCCTATACTTCAAGAAAACAAATAACCAATATATAGACATCTACACATATGTTGATTGGGCAGGTTTGATGAATGATAGACGGTCTACAAGCAGTTACTGCAGCTACGTGTGGGGTAACCTTGTGACATGGAGAAGTAAAAAACAATATGTTGTAGCTCGCAGTATTGCTGAAGCTGAATATCGAGCTGTGTCACATGGTATATGCGAGCGAATTTGGATACAACGACTAATAAGGGAATTAAAAATGCCTCACACCAGACCTATGAAATTGTACTGTGACAATTAGGCAATAGTGAGCATATCATACAATCCGTTCACTATGATTGTACCAAACATGTAGAAATAGATTACCATTTTATCAAAGAGAAGATCAGATATGGGGAAGTATGCATAACCTACCTACCAACTAAACAACAAATTGCAGACTTGTTTACCAAGAGCCTAAACAAGAACATGTTTGAAGATCTCACTAGCAAGTTAGGTTCGATGAACATCTATACACCAGCTTGAGGGAGAGTGTTGGATTTCCTAAAATCAATGGACAATATATTTTTCTTAATTATAGGAGTTTGCCTTATGTAAATAGTCACTAATCTAATTCCATGATCTTAGGAATCATTTCCTAATTTAGAGTAGTCATTCTTTATAAACTGTAATTTATGTTTAGAGCAATAAAGTAAGAATTTCATTTCTTTTCACATTTGTTCACGGTCCAATTAATGATCAAATACCAACACAAGGAATTGATACAAAGAACAATTTCAATTTTTCTTTCTCACCCCTTTTACCTAAAAGGTCTTATAACTACTTTGTTCTTGTAGATCTATAGTGCAACATCCATTCCAGCATGAGCAATCCAATATATATGCGCTCGATTCTTTGAGTGGCCTCCTGAAAAAACAGGTAGTATGCATTTTTGAAGTATGTGTAAGTTTTAGAGAATACATAAAACTTTCTTGAATATTTTTATTTTTAAATTTCACTTATTTACAAATGAAGAGATCCCTAACTTATAGAACTACGAGAAAAATCCTAAGTAAAACTTTGTAAACCAGATTTGAGATAAGACTAATAGATTAAAATTAAATTTTAAGCTAACTAACTATTATTTAGGATCTATAATCTACACTCCCCCTCAAGCTGGTGAGTATACACTGTAGAGTCCCAACTTAGATGTGAGCTCATCAAAGGTGGTTATTAGAAGTGTCTTGGTGAGTACATCAGCCAGTTGTTGATGAGTTGAAACATAGTTGAGTTTAACTGTCCCATTAGTAACCTTCTCAGAAATGAAATGGTGATCTATCTCTACATGTTTTGTCCTATCACGATGAACCAAATTTTTAGCGATACTAATTGTTGATTGATTATCACAGTCGAGGTCAAAATTGGTGCTATTATTCAATCCAATTATGCTAATAACCTTTGTATCCAAATTCCTTCAATAAAAACCTTGTACCAAGGCTCAAAACTCATCCTTTTGACTGCTCTTTGAAACCACATTCAATTTTTTACTATATGTCACTAAATTACCCCAAACTCGAGCACAATACTCACTCATAGACCTCCTGGATGTAAGTTCACCAACCCAACTTACATTCGTATATACCTCCACTTTTGTGCTCGATATTTTTCCAAAAAATATTCCATGACCATGTGCCATTTTTAGGTACCGTAAAATCCTAATTACTGCTTCTAGATGTTCCTCTTTAGGATCACTCATAAATTGGATTACAATACTAATCGAGAATGCAATGCATGGCCTTGTAAAAGATAGATAAATAAGCTTACCTACCAATCGTTGATAGTATCCCTTGTCAATCGCAGGTTTACCACCATCGGTTCTAAACTTTAAGTTGTACTCCATAGGTGTCTCAACAGGCTTACAGCCATCATACCAGTTTCAGATAACAAGTCCAAAACATACTTTGATTAATCACAATTCCACTGCTTGTTCTTGCCACTTCCATACCAAGGAAATATCTTAATGAATCAAGGTCCTTAGTTTCAAACTCATTTGCCAATAAATCCTTTAGCCTCAAAATTTCAAGAGAATCATCACCGGTGAGTATTATATCATCAACATAGACTATTAAAATAGCCTTCTTGTTTCCTAAAGTTGTTTTAACAAACAAAGTATGGTTACTTTGGCACTGAAAATAGCTGCATTTTATAATGACTTTGGTAAACCTCTCGAACCAAGCACGTGGTGATTGTTTAAGGTCATATAAGGATATGGGAAGTTATCAAACCTATCTGGAATTATAATTCAAACATAAACCAGGTGGTTTCTTCATATTGTCATGTCTGGCAGATTTGGGCCCGTGACTTGTGCGCAGACTTGTGCTTGACAAGGCAAGCTAATTTGGTCTCGTTCTTGGAGAATACTAATTCCGTGAAGAATCAAGTCCGAGGGCATCCGAGAGAAAAGTGACGAGGGTGTTACAAGGTTCAGTGGGGGCAATTTCAAGGCTTGTGGAGTTTGGATCAAAACATATGTATAGATATTTGTAGAAGAATAGTACATAGTATTGGGCCTGCCTAAGACCACCAGACTTGGCCCGTTCCTTAGAATATTCTAGAAGGGATAATTATCTCTTCATTTAAGGAGATAAATATTTAAATTAGAGAGATAATATTTGGTTTGAATTTGAATTCTTAGATAAGATTCTGATATGAGTTCATTTCAATCTCAATCATTGATGTAATTCAATCTAGACCGTTGGATCTAGGGGAGCTCAACTATAAATAGGAGCCTCCCCTTCTCACTTGTAATCATTCGATTCATTTTTTCCATTCATTCATAGAGTAATACAACTTAGGTATTTTCTTTACTTTCTCTATTGTCACTCTGTTTCTTGTTTCCAAGCTTCTTAGCTTTGTTTCTGTGACACTTAGTTTTTCAAGCTTTTTTTCTTGTTTGTTCTTAAGTCTTTATGCTTGTTGCCTCTTTTTTGTGGCTAGATAACCCTGATAGTTGTTATGTTTCCACATAGTTGTTCAAACTTAGTAGCTTTTATAGCCTCGAGTGTGTTTGCTTCCGCATCTTTGTTAACCTTAGTAGGTTTGTTTGTCACATAGACATGGTTAAGGATGATTTAGGTGTCACTTCAATAAGAGAAAATGTCTAAGGCCGCACAAATCTGCTAATCGAAACTCTAGCCACTTGACAAGGAGACGAGAAGGGGCATCCGACTTTGCAGTGAAAAGGGCCGATGCATAGTGGTGCAACAAACTTCAATGAAGAAAGATCGATGTAGAGGGTGTCAGACTTCATGAAGAAAGAAGGGTTGACATATTTTAGAGTAAATGCCAACCAAAGACAAATCGAGGTAGGTATATTTCAAACATTTTCTAAGTGTTTTAAGTCTAATTTGCATTGTTTGATAAGTAAAGGTCGAGTTAGACCTAACTATTAGTGTGAAGGCTAAAGGTTGGAGCCTTTGCCAAAGGATGAAGGGGGTCCGTGTCGAGGCAAATCTAGAGGAGTGGGAAAAATGTTCATACAGACGAGATGTTTGAGAAGACGTGATAGATTGTGATTTTACATGGTGACAAAAGCCAAGACGAGCAATTCATATGGGGGGATCGCATCAAGCCGAGTCATCGAGAGGTGTTCAAAGAGATAAATTCCAAATTTGTTCGAGTGGCGCAACTAAGGCATAATGAGTTCTGACTTGTGCTTAGAAGCGCCCGTATAAGAGGTTCTTTATGTAGACTTGGGCTTGACAGGGCAAGCTAATTTGGCCCAGTTCTTAGAGAATGATAATTTTGTGAAGGATCAAGTTTGAGGGCATCTGAGAAAAAAGTGATGAGGGTGTAAAAAGGTTTGGTAGGGACAATTGTCGAGGCTCATGGAGTTCTGACCCAGAAATGTGTGCGGATATCCATAGAATTGTCGTACAGATATTGAGTCTGCTATGACCACGAGACTTGGCTCGTTCCTTGAAAGATTCTAGAAGGGATAATTATCTCTTCATTTAAGAAGATAAATACTTAACTTGGAGGGATAATTAGTCGATGTAATTCAATCTAGACCGTTGGGTATAAGGGATTTCAATTATAGATTAGAGCCTCCCCTCATCACTTGTAATCATTCAATTCATTCTTTATATTATTTCATAGGGTAATATAATTTAAACATTTACTCTACAATTCTCTTTTCGCTTTGTTTCTTGTTTCCAAGCTTCTTAGTTTTGTTTCCATGACATTTAGCTTTTCAAGCTTTGTTTCTCGTTTGTTCTTAAGCCTTTGTTCTTGTTGCTTCTCTTTGTGACTTAATAGCCCCAACATTGTTTACATTTCCACAAAGTTGTTTAACCTTGGTGGCTTTTATAGCTTCAAGTGTGTTTGCTTACGCATCTTTGTTAATCCTTGTGGGTTTGTTTGTCGCTCAGTGAGTTGGTTTCTCAGATAGACGTGGTGAAAGCTGGCTTAAGCACCACATCAACAAGAGAAAGAATCTAAAGCCGCACAGACCCGCTTGTCAAAACTTTAGGCCCGTGACAATATAAATTTTCTTCTTCAAAGTTCCATTTGGAAAAACATTTTTAACATCAAAATGATGAAGTGACCAATTCAAATTTGGAGCAAGAGACAACAAGATACAGACACTATTGAGTTTTGCAACTAGAGCAAATGTTTCTTGATAATCAATCCCATATGACTGAGTGAACCCTCTTGTAATCTAACGCAAGAGAAAAACTTTTTCACTTTTTATTTCCTCTCTTTTAAATAGTTGTTTTTTGTGAGCTTAATTTATAAACACCCTACCTTATAGACGTTTCTTTATTTACTTCTATTTTAATTTGTAAAGGGGTTTTGGTTTTAGCCGAGCCTTTGAAAAGCTAGGGAGTTGTAAATGTTATCTCTTTGTCCTTCAAAAAGAAAGAACACATTAGTGGATTTGTTGGAAAATCCTAAGTGAGGAGCTTAGATAGTGGATGTAAATTTCATTAAGGGAGTTGAACTTCATCAATTGAGCTTCATCAATCCTAACAATTGATATCAGAGTTTGACACATTGGAATATTTAATCACCTTGAGACTATCCTAGAAGAAGCTCTATTGATTCCTGACGTAACCGATAAGAAGATGGCTTCGACATTCGGCTCTTACTACATTGAAGACTCTCAACCGTTCAACAAGTTACCTTACTTCAATGGAGCAAATTATGCCAATTGGAAGAATTGGATGATGCATTTCATTCAAGCCAACGATCTAGGAGTTGGGAACTCAATCGTTAAAGGATAATTCATTCTAACTGGCGAGATGGATGTTTGGAGTGATGGAGAGAAGAAAAAGTTCCAACTCAATGCTAAGACTATGCACATCCTCTTTTGTGCATTAGGCTCAGATGAATATGAAAGAGTCTCCTCTTGTTCCAATGCCAGGGAGATAAGGGACAAGCTTCAAGTCTCTCATGAAGGAACTGATGAAGTGAGGGAAACCAAGATAAGTCTTCTCAACCATAACTACGAAAATTTCAAGATAAAACCGAATGAAGACATCAAAGCTATGACATATAGATTTTTTGTGATTGTCAACAGTCTCAAGGGATTTGGAGAAGTAATCCCTAATAAGAAGCTTGTGAAGAAGATGATCTACTCTATTCCAAAGCCTTGGCAATCGTAGAAGACGATGATCAATGAGGCTAATAATCTAATCTCTCTCTCTCTTGATGAGCTTATCAGTTCTCTTTTCACTAATGAGTTGATGGTAAAGGAAGAAGAAGATGACGAAAAAAAAGAACAAGAAGAAGAAGGTAGAGATTGCCTTCAAATCCACCAGTGAGAGCAATCAAGATTTAAATGAAGAGGTGGATGAAGACGATGATGAAAAGAAAAGATGGCCAAATATTTCAAAAGATTCAAGAGAATCATGAATTCCAAGGAAGTGAAGCCTGATTTAGCAAAAAGAAGAGTCATCGGTGTGCTTCGAATGTCAAAGAACGGGGCATGACAAGTATGAATGTCCCCTCCTAAAGAAGAAGAGATCAAGTAAAAAGAAGGCATTTGTAGCAGCTTGGAGTGATGAAGATGAAGATGAAGTAGTCAACTTATGCCTCATGGCCATCGGAGAAGATTCAGTGGTAACTTCTAACTCAAATGAATTAGATTTTTATTCTTTTGATGAGTTACAAGTTGCTTATGATGAGTTGTATTTGGAATTTGAGAACATGAATTTCAAATATAAGAAATTAATTTCAAAACTTAAAATTGAAAATGATTTGATTTTGAAAAACAAAATGAATAATTGAAAAATGATTTAAACCTTTCAAAAGTCAAAATCAATGATTTTGAAAAAGAAAATTTTGATTTGAAAGTTGAGCTTGAGAGCTTAGCAAAAGGAAAATAATTAATTTCTAAAAACAACTCATTATGTTTAAGAATGACAAAATGCTCACATTGTTATTTTAATGGTCATTTGGAACATACTTGTCCTATAAAGAAAAAAATCTTTTAAAATTAGACAAGTATGGGTTCCTAGGGAACAAGGGCATTGAAATTAATGTCCAATGATTCAAAACAATTTGGATACCAAAATCTACTTAAATGTCTCTTGTAAGTGTGTGGGTGCAATGGTGATGAAAGTGAAGATATTCAAATGCTTTAGCCAACTTGAAAAAGAATGAGTAACCTCTAAGCTTAATGCTTTTGTTTTGATTAATTGGTTGCTCATTTGATTAAAGCATGCATGAGCTTTTGATTTTAAATCATTTTATGTTTTCTATCTCATGTATGTTTAAAAGTGTATTATGATTAACATTTTAATGCTTTAATGATTCTTCATAATTTTTTGGTTCATTATAATCAATTTTGGCCAAAATTGGTTTTAAATGCAAATGATATCTCTCGAACAATTGTTATCAATTTTTCCAATGCTTTAATTTTACAAATTTTAATTTTTGACCTAAATTTAATTATTTATGTAACACTCATTTCCCATATACAAATTTTGTTTTTTCATAAAACATTTTAATTTAATACTAATAAAATGTTCATTAAACTTTAGTATATAAACAAAAATTTATTACTCAAACATTTTATCATTTTTACATCATTATAAGTCAAATACTTCTCAGGGTGTTATCATAATTCTATTACATGCCAACTAATAATATAAAAATAGACAGTTACTGATGAGGCGACTCTCGATTTACGATATCAGATGCACTCCTTACTCTGCTTGCTAAAACCTACTTGTGAAATAAACACACATTAAGTATTTACTTAGTGACGCAAGAATACTAGTGAGGTGAGATCAATACATCATTATATCATATCTATCAAATACAAATTCATTATTTTCAAATCATTATAATTTCTTTGAGATGCACACGTAGTGTCGATACGGTTGTTCATAAAAATATTATGTTCTGTGGGTTGCACACTTAGTGCCTATACGATAGTTCATCAATATATGATGAATTTCATGTGTTCCACACTTAGTGCC